GGAGGAGGACTGAAGGCCTGGAGTACGATACGACTTTAGGGACATACCCCACTCGAGGGTACGGAAATGCTTTGGCCAGACCGGGCGCAAAGTCAAGATAGGAAGGGGCCACTGAAAGGGCCTGCAAATCCCCACTCTCTTAAGAGAAGATATCGCCAGAAGAAAGGTAGTCTTTATAGTAAGGTGGCAATCAGAGATCTCCTCAATTGGCTCGAACGGAGGCTTACAGAGATCTTCTAGCACCATGGCCAGGTCCCACGTGGGGACGCGAGATCATATGAGAGGCCTCAGCCTCAGCGCACCTGCAGGAACTCCAGTACTGTACCAACTGGGCAGCTAGCTGGGTCGAGCTGGCGGCGTCTATACCAGGAAGTGAAAAGTTTCCACTTCCAAGTGTACAGTTTCCTCGTGGAGGGAGCTCTGGATTGGAGGATGGTCTCAACAACCTCAGTTGAGAGACCGGAAGCTACTAGTTGTGCCCCCTCAGGGGCCACAGCCATAACTTCCACAGCTCCGGGCGGGGGTGAAATATCGTGCCCTCCGCCTGTGAGAGGAGGTCCCTCCTGACGGGAATCTCCCATGGAGAGCCGTCGAGAAGGAAAATCAGGTTCGAGAACCATACTCGGCCCGGCCAGAACGGGGATACTAACAGTAGACGGACTCCGTATCTGTTCAACCCCGGGGCATCGCCCTATAGTCATGCTCACTCAACCCCGCCACATTCCCATAGTAATCTGAGGCAGGCATGAAGAGACGGGCCGAGAAAGGCCTGGCCCACGACCTCGACACCTCAGTTTGAAGGTCGGGGAAAAATGGCAGGCTCCGGCATGGAGGTGGTGGCCTCGCTCGCAGAAGCGCTCATCTAACTTACCTCTTCGACGCCCTCCACGTCAACCTCCTCGGAGGAAGACAGGCAGAGCGTCGAGCCCTCACCCCGGGAGGAAGTAGCCGTAGAACGGGCTTCCGAACCCAGAGATGGGGCGCTGGATCTGGCGGGTGAGGAAGGAGATAGGGACTCGCCCGTCTCCATTCCCTCCACCAGATCCAATTGCGAATCCCACGAATGCAGCCGCCGCTCCGCCTCGACAGAAGCGGGGCCAGCACCGCGAGGAACGCTGGCGAAGACTCCCTCCTCAAAGAGAGCCCTCCGGGAGGGAAGTTTATGCAGTGGGAGATGCTCGCAATGCGGGCAGCTGGCCCCCTCGAGAGCCGACTCTTGTGCTCCGCTCCCAAGCAAACCACGCACAGACTGTGTGTATCCCCACCCGTGATGTAGCATGGGCAGGGAGGAACACACAATCTATAACGTGGCTTGCTCTCGCCCTTTGCATGCTTTGTCTTAGCGTGAGCTTTAGCTTATAGTTGTAATTTTTTGACAGACAACAATAAATAGGACCCACAAACACAGAGTTTTGACTGAATGACAGAAATCTGACGCTGGCTCCGCCACACGTGCTTTTATAGCTTCCTGGTCATGACGTCACCCACCTGTGATGTCTCGCCCAGCTATTGGACTGATTTCACATGTGATTCAGAGCGTGGTCACAGAAGGCATTCCCAAAGCGTTCTCCGATGCAGCTCGAGTTCCTGAAGAGGAATCAGGAATTGTTCGATTCGGTATGCCATTCCGAATCTAACGAGACCAATCTTATGATTTTTGGCCAAACTGGTCAGAAGTTCTAAGCAGAAATTTCATTTTTATATATACTTTGACAAGTAGGTGGCACTGTGCCGAAACTACTCATGTGCCCTCAGATCATGCTTGTTATAGTCTCAGCCTCAGACGTCACGCCCACGGACCTTTGGCTGAACGTCTGATGCATACCACACACAACATTGGAAACACTTCGGGAGTCATCAGATTGGTTGAATTATATAGGATTTCTGGGAGAAAAGACAAACTTATCAGGTTTGATTTTAGATCCCTTAATCCTTAAAACCCATACCTAAACCTAAAATAGTCAACCAGGAAAATCTTTGGTCGGGGCAGCCCTAGTAATTACACAAGTAAGTACTGATTAATATTAATTAACTACATGTATTTACTATGGGGTTAGGTGTTTGGTTTAGGGTTAGTTGATTGTAATTATGCATGATGTACTGATATTAATATAGTAATAACTTGCAACATGTAACTATGTCATGTTTAAGTAAAGTAACAACTAATGGTTTATTAAGTAATTAGTTGCATTTTTATGATAAATGATCAAATATAATAAAATACATAGATTCATAACTGAATCAGGTACATGTAACTATTTGTTTTAGCAGTTACACTATTGCAAACAAGCAAACAAAATAATGTTATGTCAGGAAATATAGAGTGATAACTTAGAGACTCATAAGTTATCAGTGATAACGTATCACTGATAAGTTAATTTATTTTAGGCTTATTGATCCTGTCAGCAGTTTTTGCAACCTGGTCTCATAAAAATACGTACCTCTGGGTACTTTTCTGCAACACCGTTTTTTGAACTGTTTTGTTGAACCGTAGTTACACGGGATTCAAACCGGAGCTCCTCACCTCTCAAGTATGTCTCCGTACTCCGTGAGCTACCAAACAAACCTACCGTGTATGAAAACCCATAGATATGAAACTGGATATGTGTGATGCTAACATTCAAAAGCATCAGTTTTCAAATCTCCCAGCATATTAAAATTGTTTTGAAGTCATTACATAATATTCTTCAAGTAATTGTGCGAAAATTACGCTTTATTATTCGAAACTCTATCAATTTGTGTGAAAAGGAATAAAAGGTGTCAGAGTTTTACTGCCTCTAGTGTTCATTTCTTTTGGAAACTGCAGTGATATGTACTTATTGGTACGTATTTCGCGTCTTGCGAAAAAGTGCCCCAGGTACGTTTTTGCCATGAGACCAGGTAGAGTTGTTACTCTGATAATAAGATAACAGTGAGAACTGTTACTAGATAAACCTCTGATTGACTGATTTGACTTCACTCTGGTTTGGCGTCATTTCAATAATGCATCACCAAATCAAAGTCAGACGCATACTGAGACAGATCTTCAAAGAATTTATCTGATGGAGTCTACATATTAAAAGGAGGAAAGATTTGTATGTGTCAACAAGCAAATAACTGGCAAAAAACTGCAGTTTAAAAGTCTGAGGTCGCGAGATTTTTGAAAGAAATCTCTCATGCTCACCAAGGCTGCATTCATTTGTTCAAATATATAGTAAAAACAGTAACATTATGAAATATTATTACAATTCAAAATAACTGTGTTCTATTTAAATATATATTAAATGTAATTTATACCAGTGATGCAAAGCTGAATTTTCAGCAGCCATTAGTTTAGAGTCAAATTATCCTTCAGAAATCACTCTAATATGCTGATTTGCTGCTCAAGAAATATTTATGATTATTATCACAATTAAAACTGCTGTGCTGCTTAAAATTTATTTTTTTACACATTTTCTTTGATGAATAGAACATTTTACAGAACATAATTTATTTGAATGGTAATTTTTAAATAAATAAACAAATAAATAAACAAACAATGTCACTTTTGATCAATTTAATGAATTCTTAAAAAAAAAAAAAACCTTACTGACCCCAAGACTTCTACAGTACAGAGAATTTTGATGTCAATTCAATAGCGTAAGCTGCAGTGACTGTGAGTGGAGCTGTCCATGGTGCTGATAATTGATCTACACTATGCAAGTCTGGTCAGACGTCAATGGTTTTAGTGCAATTACAGATTCCAATAAAGTTTTTCAAATGTGTAGGAGAAAAATTGTACAACAAGAAAATCAATTTTAAAGGTACTTGTGCATTCCAGAGCCTCTGGTTATTTTTATTTTTTTTAATTTTTCAAATGCAGTAATAAAGCTTTTATCAGCCTAAAACAACATTTTGAGCATAGAGCGTTAAACTGTCAAGGTGTCAAACAGAAGTTGATTTATCCTGGAAAAAAACAGAATGTGTAACCAAATTTCATATCAAAAGATGACTTGTAGGATGGTTATGCGTCAAAATGTTGTAAAGCAAGAGAGCTTGTACAAATTATTAACCCTCAGTAACAGTAATAGTGGGGTCTTAACAATTAACAAATGAGTGCTAATCTTAAAGCAAGTTTTGTTAAATTTTCATCACAATGTATCCCTCTTTTCTCATAAGAGTGTATCCACAATGAAGCAGAACAAATGAACTCATACATGGGAAAGCTCAATACTAGGCTCGCAAACATGGGCAAATGTCTCCGTGTGTCCATTAGGTGTGTTTCTGGAGCATTTGCCATTACGTTCTTGGTGTGCAGTGTAAAATTGAAATGTGAACACCTACAATCGGCTCCATCAAATTAAAGCAAGCCACAAACTGAGTCTCACAATCCAACAGTATGTTCCCCATCCGCACACACTCTCCATTTTCCAGCATTCCTGTCAGCATGACCGCACTGCATTTCCCAGAAGTCAGCAGGTAGCGAGACTCCGAGTGCCCCAATCCAAACTACTGGAGCAGAATTATGTGTCGTCCACTAACACACACTTCTAGCAGCGCTAATGGAGTGTAGGTCAGCAGGTGTGTGAGAACACCGGAAGCGTGAGAATGGAGAAAAATAACAGCGCAAAGACGGACACAGGAGATTCGCTCTCATTCACGCCTGAGTGAAGCAACAGATTAAGTAGCAGAACACAGGGCACAAAATCCAAAGAAAGAAGCACCTTTTTCTTTCTTCTTCCCCCAGAAAATAAATAAATCTGAGACGGCGAACGCTGGGACCGAGAGATGGAGTGATATCTGCACAAAAGGTCAGCCACAGGAAGTGGACGTGGAGAAAGAACAAGGGAAATGGAAGACAAAGTGTCAGTGGATAATTGTCATCCATGATGGCTGTTCAGATCAAAAGTAAGTACCCCACGACTCTGACAGGAGAAAATAGCCACCTTTGTTCCTCATTCCGACCTGGTCATACGCCTCCCTCTAGGCTGGAAAAGGTCAGTGAATGTGTGTTTCTGTGTGTGTAAAGCAACTGAACTTACAGCAGGGGTAGTTTAACAGCACTATATCGTCCAGGCCGATGTAACCCTTACGCTCCGATGAGACTGTGGCTTCAAAAACGATCTGCAAGGAAAGAGATGAAGATGTGAGACAGAAAAAAGAACAACAGACAGCCAGGGGAGAAAGCACAGGCACACAATATTTTTACAGTTTGCAGTGTTATAGAAATTGTACCTAAAACAATTGTAATGTGAACGAGGCATGATGTGAATGTATGTATAATCGGTTCCGCTTAGCCCGCTCCAAGCAAGGCTTGAACCAGTGACAGCCGGCATGGGAAGTCGGCATGCTAACAAGGGCACAGTCTCTAACACGCCCCTTGAAGGCAGGGAGCTTGCTAGCTGGCCTCCAGTACGCTCAGCCCCATAAACCTCACTCTGATCTGGGTCACGGCACCAACATAACTGGTTCTACTTGCACCACTCGAAGGGATTTGAACCTGATGTTCTGTTAAGGTGCATCATATTTACCGTTGCAAGGCAAAATTTCATGAGCAAAATCCAATAATTTCAATAGGAATAAACATGATCTAGAGTTTCATAAGAGGGTGAAAAAGGTCCCCATGCAGATTTCTCACATGTTCAAGTGTCCAAAAGAAAGATGCTTGGTTTGAAAGTTACTTCTATGTTTCATATAATATAATACTGAAAATTGTCAATGGACCTTTTTTGCCCACAAAATTTTGCCAAATTTCGCTAATGTGATTACATAAAATTATTATTATATTTGAATTACAAAAAAATAAAAATAAATAAATACATTTTGCTACAATATGGTAACATTTTAGTCACAGATATTTATTTATTTGTTTGTTTGTACATGTACGCAATATTTTGAAAATAGGTGTGTTAAATCATCATCATTACATTGCTTGATAATGTAACCAACACCAGACCAAAAGTTTTATAAAATGATCGATTAAATACAATTTTAGTGAATATATATGTTACACACACACACACACACATACATATATATATATATATATATACAGTATATACACACACATATATAGAAATGCACAAAACAAAATGCATATGGGCCAGCTTAAATTTGTCCACTGGCTGATTTGTTTTTTAAAATTTTAAGTAGATTTTTTTTTCTTTGTTCGGATGGAAAATAAAATAAAATAAAATAAAATAAAATAAAATAAAATAAAATAAAGCCCTTTGACCAGTGACATGTGAGATTTTGGGTCATGGGATTTATATTCTTGATACTGAGCTTTTGGTATCGGTATTGTTGAAAACATATTTATACTATACTCCCCTCACATCATTAGTACAACAGCTGTTTTATAATTACTATAGTAGCACACCCCTGTGATTGTAATTAAGCCAGATGTTCCCACACTAGAATTATAACCACTACAGTAGTTTTTTACATTGAAGCATGTGTGCGTTTTTCTTTTCAATTTGTTGCTTTTTCTTTTTATTCTTGGTGTGAACAGGCATCTCGTGTGAGTGATTGAACTGTGTCTGTTCCCAAAGGTATTTCCCATGCCGCCTCTTGCTTCAAGCAGATACATTATTCTTTGCTCTCTCAATAAACAATACAATCTTGGCTAACGCAACTACATAATTGATCATTACATGCAATTCTGCCTACCCACAAGGTAGCTTTTTCTCATGTAAAGCGTTATGCGGGTGTTCGCTGAGCTAAAGGCATCATGATTCAGCACAACTTTCGCCCTGCTTTGACCTACCGATGAATTCGACTCAAGACTTGCGCTCTGCTGAGAATACAGATCTTGCTCTCTAGTGCCCAATTACACTGCAAGTACCCCACATCACTCATCCGTTTACACAACCTTTAGCCATTCTGCTAACAAAGAGAAGACTGCCTCCCCGGCTGTTTCACTGTTGGACAGGCACAGATAGCTGATAGATGTCCTACCGCTCTGAATCAAACAACAAATGAGCTGGCAGTACTAACAGCCAGCCAATCAAAGCCGAGCTGCAGCGAGCAAAGAGACCTGATGGTGCAGCAGGGTTTCTGTGCACGCTGTTCTTATCTCCACAAACATGTTTAGCCATGTTTGCTAAAGCAAGCACAACTATTACTATCACTCATGTTCAGAGTTTTGAACGAGCCATTAACCTCTTTAAGTATTAAAATTCAGGCCGTAAGAATTGCTCACAGCGACCACATAGTACCTGGTAAACCAATCAAACTGTGGCAGTGATGTACATGCAAGCATTACTCGCATTTCTTTAGATGAATGTAAAAATCCAGTTTCATATTTGCTTCTGTGTAAGACATGGAGCAGATTAGCTGCTGATTCAGGTCTGTATTGTTTGGTCGTCTTTACGCCCCAAACCCTGTCTGGTTAAGATTTGACACATTAGTCACAGAGAGGGAATGCCAGAGCGGAAGAGGCTCATTTGGGGAGGGGGAGTGATAGACAGGAAGACAAAGAGAGACATGTTAGCTTGGATAGACTTTCTCCAGAGGGCACCTCGGCCCAGGAAGGAAAAGGGGTTAGTGTTTCGGGCCATTGTGCACATCCCTGATATATGTACAGTATGTGTGAAAGATGTGTGCACAAAACATTTGATGAAACAGAAGGGCTGGTAGCATTGTTAATATTTGATAAAGGCTCCTTGCCATCTCCAACACCTACAGCACTGACAGCAGCACAATACACATCAGACGGAGAAAGGTGGATTTTCAAAGCTGCACAGTGTCTCACAGTGCCTGGCATCCATTTATCTCATTGCTCTTATTTCCTATATTCAACCCACCCAAATGTGTGGAGCATCAACATGATAGAGATCAAAATACTGCAGACAGGAAACAATTGCTGGTTGGCATACAAGCGGAAGCATCTCATTTACACCAGTGGGACGCTGTTGCATACCATCTACGGATGTGTTTTATCAGGGCAAGCTCAGGAGCGCAAACGCAAATAACAGAAAAAGTCATTTTCATGTCTTACAAAAGCCTTGGAAAACCAAGGAATGTTGACAATGCCATTCACGTCTCGCACAAACCCCTGGTGAATCTCAGAGAGGCACTCACGCATCTCAACATGAATTGGACCACACGCACTTTAAAAACCCTGTCAGAACAAAACCAGAAAAGCTCTCAGTAAAGATTCAGTGAACGTTTGGACATGGGACGTTTGGGGGACCTTATTCCCGTATCTGTTGACAATCATGCTAAAACATATACAGTTGGTGTTTCGATGACTCAAATCTGCGAGGGGACTTCAATCTGTCATAATGATTTGCTGTGTCCATTAGCAAAGCATGTTATAAAACATGTCTGGTTTCTTGGCTCATTGAGCTGGATCATGAACGGGAAGCTACTGAAGGGACACATTAACAAACATATACTCTATGCAAAGATTGCGCCCCACAGTGACTCCATCCAGGGTACTGTGGTTGAGCTTTTATAAAGCGTTTACCATGATTTGATTGAACATTTGATTTGATTTATATGAGCAGCTGTGCTTTGAGAACAAAATAACATTCTGCAACACAAATGAGGTACTAAACAAACAATTAAACTCGACTGTTAGCAAAACATGCCTGTACTTGGCGGCTAAAACGATGGAAGATAGAAGCACAAAGACAAGTGAGAGCCAAGAGAAGAACGCTGGGAATGGCACAGGAATGGAACAGTCATGTACAAATAGTTAAGCGGACCGAAGATAAATGATCATCTACTGGCCAAGTGTTTGGAAAAAAGTCAAAGACATTCCTAAGCTCATTACAACAGCCAGATTGTTACAAAACCCACTGAATATTCACATTCTTTCATTGTCTTCTCTGTTGTTATCCTTGTGTTTTTTCTCTCTGTTGGTCTTTTCGATTTCAAATAGTCAAATAAATGTAGCCTTGGTGAGCAGAAAAAAATTATTTCAAAAACATTTTAAAATCTTGTATAACTATATTTTATAAAGTATGATGGCTTTTAAGATTACATAAGTGTGACCTTGAAATAACATGAAAATCTAACAAAACGTTCCTTTCCAGATGGCCCATTAAGCCGTATTTTCATGGTCGTAATCTTGTCACAGACTCATTCATGGTCTTGGACAAGCTTGCAATTAGATTTTTCCCTCATGTGTGAGTCGCTTTTTAAAAAGCATCTGTTAAATGAACAAAACTTAGCATTAAGTTTCAGGGGCCGGTTGCACCAGCTGTACGCAAGTTACAATGTAGCCTAGTTTTGTTGTAAATGGTTGTAAACTTATGCCCTACTAAATATATGTTGTTGCACCATTACAATTCATGGTCTTGGACAAGCTTGCAATTAGATTTTTCCCTCATGTGTGAGTCGCTTTTTAAAAAGCATCTGTTAAATGAACAAAACTTAGCATTAAGTTTCAGGGGCCGGTTGCACCAGCTGTACGCAAGTTACAATGTAGCCTAGTTTTGTTGTAAATGGGCAACTTATGCCCTACAAAAAATTTGTTGTTGCACCATTACACATAGTTGAATAGTAACTACGTATAAACCATAGACTGTATAAAAACATGGACGTAGCGTCCGTGACGTCACCCGTAGGTTCCTTAAGAGCATTTTCGAAGTCTAAAGTGGGCGGAGCCGGCCGTCGCCATCTTGGCAGCGCGTTACTCCTGGATAATCGAAAATGGGCAAAGAGGAGGGACATGGGTGGAGCTGGTTACTGAAACCACGCCCGCCTAGCTCGACAGTGGTGACAGCAGCGGCAATCCAGCTGTCACTCAAGTAGTCACCCCCTTAATTATGCAGAACTTTAAGGCTTAATAGTTATAAAAAAATTCACCCCCCTCACAGTTGTCATGAAGGGCAAAATTTTTGTACCAGGCTGTAAACATGTTTTTTTTCTGCTGTAAAGTTGGACATTTTAACATGGGGGGGTCTATGGGACTGACTCCCTTTTGGAGCCTGTCTCTAGTGGCCAGTCGATGAATTGCAGTTTAAGACACTTCCGTGTTGGTTTCAAGAGAGAGACCGGAAGGTTGCCGCTTGGTATAAACTAAATATTTACAGAAGGGTCCGGTCAGTTCTTTTTTTACCCGACAACCTTCAATCCTTCAGATATGTATGAAGCTGCTGACATTTACACTCACG